AACATGTATAAATAAGTGACTAATTTTAAATTAAACATAATGTCTTAAATAAATTAATTAAATATTTTTTGTCTAATGAATCCTTTTTGAGCAGTGACAAAAAGGATGAAAGTTTGGAAAGACTTAAAATTTAAGATCAATAATGGGTTATAAATTAAATTATTAAATTAATTAATCTATATAATATTATAATTAAAAATAAAAAATTAATTATTAAATATTATAAAATTTGTTTTTTTAATATTTTAAACAATTTACCTCATCTTATGTCATTAATCCCAAACTTTACTCATATAAAATTTCTCATTATTCATCCTTTTTTGGCTTAATTTCCATAACAGAGAACATTGTTATCCTAAAAAACAGAACATGATTAATGCTAAAAAACGACGAAGAAGAAGAAAGAAAGAAGGAAATTTTCTGAGTATAATCATCAAAATGTGTGGAACAAACAATCCTCTCCGAAGAGATAAGCCATTCTCTCCATTCTCCATGGATCTTTTAAATCTTGCCCTTCATTGAGATCAGCAGGCAGCAGCTCAAGCCTGCACAAGGGACATGTCCCATTCCCTTGGTCCATCCACTTATCCAGGCACTCCCTATGGTACACGTGATTACAATTCCCAAGCTCCCTGATTTCTTCACTTCCATTAATGCAACCTAAGCATATGGCACAAACAGCATCCGCCTGATGTCCATCTCCTCGGAATCCTGAATATCTCCTGAACTCCATCACTGGAAGCTTCTGCTTTATGAAGTTAGGCACGACACAGCTGCCCCTCATGTATGGCACTGGCACCAGACTTGGTGATGGACGTCGACCACCTTCTTCATAGTCATAGATGTTATGGAAAAGCACTAGTGATCTCTTGATTACTTGGAACCAGAGAAGGCGAGATACCCTGAAAAATTGAAGTAACAGGTGTAGAAAAAAGGTCATAGCCATAGGATCAAAGATTATGAGGTTGGATAAGTTGGAGGGATATGTCTTTCTAGGATGAACTAAAATTACTATGGTTGTGGGAGGAAACAAAACGGAACATGATGGATGAGCGGAATGAAAGGATTATTTTGGTAACAGAATTAGGTTTTGAATAAATAATTCCACCATCATCCATCAACATTATATGGATTTCCCATTGACTTTCAGGATGATGAAGTCATGGTGAGTGACCCACGCGTTGGTTTGAGAGAGAAGATATAATTATTATTTCAACTAATTGAATTAAGTTAATTAAAATAATAAAATAAATAAATTAACTATAATAATTTTTTTTTTACTCTCTTTCTCCCAAACTAAATAAATTATTATTAGTTTTTTTTTTAAAAAAAAATTTATGGAATAAGCTATAAGTGGTTTTTTGGCTGAAAGCTATGAGTAGTTAAGCTAGGAAAATCAGGCTAAACAAAGAATTAAAGAAATGAGGAAGGAAGATTAAAAAAAAAAAAAGAAAAAAAGAAGAGGAAATAAGGAAGGTATTGATGTGATGGGTTGGGCTCAAAGGTTGGGCTTTGATCCGAATTACAGGCCCACTTATATTAAGCCTCATTTAGCCCAGTTTAGGAAACAGCACGTGAACTGGCTGTAAAATTGGCAAAAACCAATATTGAGCCCCTTACCTTACAAAATTTAGTAGATTTTAGCTCCTCACCTTATAATATTACAACTTTAACTCTTTATCTTATAACATTGGTAAGTTTTAACCCCTCACCTTACAAAATTGGTAGATTTTAACCATTTACCTTATATTATGATATTTTTAAACCATCACCGATACGAATTAAAGAAAATAACCCTTACCTAATATTAGGTTATAATATTCTGTTAGTTGATTGTTAATATTTGTTAACATTTCGTTATAAAAAATATGAAATTTAAATTCAATTTTATTTGTTGGTTTTATTAATGGAATGCTAATGGATGCTAACAGTCAACTAACAGAACTAACAGTCAACTAACAGAACTAACAATCAACTAACAAACTGACAGTTAACTAACAGAACTAATAATGCCTTTCAAAAAAAAAAACTAACAGAAATAATAAAATATTAAAACCTAATGTTAAATAATGGCTATTTTTTTCAATTCATATAGATAAAAGGTTAAAAATGTTATAATATAAGATGATGAACTAAAACCTACTAACTTTATAAGGTAAATGATTAAAACTTACTAATTTTGTAAGGTAAAAAGTTAAAATGTCATATTATAAAATTAAAAGTTAAAATTTATCAAATTTTATAAGATGATGAGCTAAATGTTGATTTTAGGGCGTGACACTTTTTTGTCTGCCACAAAACAGAAGAATCCAAATTCCCAAAAGCAATATAGCCGATTTTACCAAATTGCTACCAGTCAACAACAACTGGAGATCAGTAGTGTTACAATTAGTCAATTACATCATCATCAACTAAGAAAATTTTTCCCTAGAAAAATCTTACCATTCATTGTATCCTTACCTTGTAGTAATAATCAATTGATATATTCCCTTTCCCCCGAGGAAACCAATTTCCCAGAAACTAAACTACACCTGGACTATAAAGATAACAACGTGTACAAATGCAGGTAGGTAGCATTCATAGCCCCTCACAATCCCAATCACAAGTCAAGTCAATATGTTCTGTAATTCAGTTGACTGGATGTTGGAGTTAGGTCTGAAATGGTGCTTGGATCCGTAAAGGTATAGGGGGGAGTAGGGACAAACAGGTATTCCCCCCTTCAATTGGTGGACACCCTCCATGATTTTCACTGGGAGGTTTTTAAAGTTTTAACCTTCGGCCTATCAACAGAACTGTGTCAACAAAAGACCAGAGCTTGAGAGGGAGATATCTTCCTAGACCATCAACTAGAACCGGGAGGTAGGTTTATTGGTGTTTGTCCCATCAGCTACTTTTGTTTTTTGGGTATATTGTTCCATTTGTGGATCCTCTGATATTACTCCATCTCTGCTGTCCCACGCATTTACTCTTACTTCCTACTCTTATTGTCTGCTAGTGTTGTAGTTCTGGTTCTAAAAACCCATTTCTTAGTATTTTATTTAACATCATGGTTTAATTTAATTTTCCCTCTTTGTTTTGGCATGCTTTTAGTGGGTATCCGATGTGAGTTTTTTTTTTCTTATGTTGTCCAACTGTTACTTTTGTTGTCTTTGTAACAAGATATTTTATGATGGATTGCTGTGTTTCTAAATGTATGTAGTTAAATTCAATGCAACTGCACAAGAATATGATAGCAGACTGTCTGGCTTTGATTGTGCGTGAGGCATGTTTTTCTTTCACCTAATCATTAAAAATACTACCACATCAAGAATAACTTAATTAATAGATGACAGTATAATCCTACAAAGCTTGATTGGTTTTATATAAAGTGCTTTAGGGAGTTACCGTGATTGGAACCATTGTTCAATTTTCCTTACCTATTTCTTCACAATCATTGAGGCTGCTGGCTGTTCCAGTTGTTAGTTTGTCACCTTTCCTTCTTTTGTCATTATTCATGCCAGAATCTTCTGTTCTAAGCCGTGGGTAACCTGTGGCTGCCAAAAACTTCGTTCCTTGCAAGGTAACCTTCTTGCTTGCTTCATGATTTGTTTGTTTCTTCTAGTAATAATGTTGGCATAGTTGCTTTTCTGCTATCAAAGTTTTTTAGGAAGAACAATCTTGTCAACAGCTCTTTTTTAGCAAGTAATCTTTGGAATAATTTAGGTTGGTGGTTGTTCTGGTTCATCTTGTGTGTGAATTATAAGCTGTGTAGCTTGATCTTATATGCTTTGAAAGTATTTTCATTATAAATTTTAAGATCCAGATGGATTTTTCTTTACCGATTCTCAATATGGTACGGAATCACTACTCTTCTATTTGTCACTTGGCTATCAGTGAAAATGAAGAAATGAAGGAAAGCTATTCAGTGGAATAGCAGGGTAGGTAGTTTCCATATACAATTCATTTTCTGACATTCAGTTTTTGCGGCAAAAGCACACTTCATTCTTCACTCTTGGCACTGTCGGTTGAAGTTTTTAGTTAAATATATGGGCGTTCACGGTGATCCTAAATTCCTTTTTCTGTTTTATAGGTCTCCTTTAGTTATTTCTTCTTCAATTACACACTTATTTGGTTCCTTTCCCTTGTATCTTTAAATTTAGCATGTCCTTTAATGACAACAGCAGTGAGTCATCCTCTACTTCTCTGTGCTTGCTTTCATGAATCACCAACGTGAGTTAATAGGCCCATCCCTAGAGATTTATGAGGGTAATGGCATTACCTGTCATCTTTGGAGCTTAGAATAATTTATAGACATTTTTTCAGTTCTTTGTTTTTCTTTTTCATTTAAAGTGCTGGAGATTGTTTTTATGAGGTTGTCCTGTTTGCAACCAATTTGCAAAACTGATAAATTTTTATTTTTCATAAAATTTAAGCGTATGCATTTCCTCAACTTACCTTATGATGTTGTTATCTTGATGAATTCAGAGAATAGCTAGAAATATTGAGACTGGAGGATTGTCTGATAAAGACACTTGGATGGAATATTGCCCAATTCTGTTTACTTATCTTCTCATTTTTAAGCTGTTCACATGACATTAATTGTGATAATTTTTCTGTTTGCCATGAGACTTCAGATGGAAACGCAAAATTCTCAACATGGACAGTCCATTGAAATAAGTGTAGATGTTACTGCTGAGGAAAGGAACATTGCAGGGAGTAAGACATGTGGGGAAACACCTTGTGGGTTTTCGGATGCAGGAACAAACTCAAAAGATGCTAAAGAACGATCAGCTTCTATGCGCAAGCTTTTTATTGCTGTTGTACTTTGCATTATCTTCATGAGTGTTGAAGTAGTTGGTGGAATTGAAGCCAATAGTCTAGCAATATTAACTGATGCAGCACATTTGCTATCAGATGTTGCAGCGTTCGCCATCTCATTGTTCTCCTTATGGGCAGCTGGCTGGGAAGCCACTCCCCGTCAATCTTATGGATTTTTCAGAATTGAGATTCTTGGAGCCTTAGTCTCCATACAGCTAATTTGGTTGCTTGCTGGGATTTTAGTATATGAAGCCATTGTTAGAATCATTGAAGGCACTAGTGAGGTGAATGGCTTTCTAATGTTTATTGTTGCTGCTTTTGGTCTAGTGGTTAATATTGTCATGGCCTTTTTGTTGGGCCACGACCATGGCCATAGCGACCATAGTCATGATCATGGAATGATAATTACCACTCACCATCACCATCATCATCATGAGGAGGATTCCACAGGGAAGCACCAGCACCATGAGCACTCCAAGGATGAGCACCATCATCATCATGAAGATAAGGAACATGCTAAAGATGAGCATCTCCACGCACATGGAGATCATTCTGAGCCGCTGCTGGAGAAACCAAAAAAGAGAAGGAATATAAATGTCCAGGGTGCTTATCTTCATGTTCTAGGGGATTCCATTCAAAGTATTGGAGTAATGATTGGGGGGGCAATCATATGGTATAAGCCTGAATGGAAGATAGTTGATCTGATTTGCACACTAATCTTTTCAGTCATTGTTTTAGGGACAACAATTAAAATGATGCGGAGCATAGTTGAAGTCCTGATGGAGAGCACACCAAGAGAGATTGATGCAACAAAGCTGGAGAGGGGCCTGTTGGAGATGGGAGAAGTGGTGGCCATTCATGAGCTGCATATATGGGCCATTACAGTAGGGAAGGTCCTGTTAGCTTGCCATGTCAAAATCAGGCCAGAAGCAAATGCAGACATGGTATTAGATAATGTAATAGACTATATCAGGAGGGAGTATAACATCAGCCATGTTACCATACAGATAGAGCGTTAAATATGCCAGGCTGCCCTTGTTATACTCCTCTTTGTGAATGCTTTTCTGATTCCAAGCAATAGATTGGCTCGTAGCTTATAATTGATCTCATCTGTGTATGATTTGTGCAATAAACATCTCTTAGAGTTGAATAATGGTTTTTTTGAATCATTTCTTTCTCTTCATTTCATGCCACTTTTAGTTTTTGATCCATAGATACATGGCATTATTCTCCCTATAGAATGAAGCTTTCATCATGCAGTAAAAGAGAGATTGAATCTTTGCCAGCAGAGGTAGGCGTCAGCTGTCTCTAATAATTGGGGTCTACCAGCAATGGGTTTTTGCATGTCACAGGCATCACATGAGACAGGAGCTGAGCACCCTTCCCTGAAACTTACTTGCTTAACATTCACAGCTAGGGGCACCGGTGTTGTCCAAGTGAGTATAGCTTGTGATTTCTCCTAGTAACACTCTGTTTTCTATGAAATGTCAGCAACATCCTCAGCACTTTTACGTGCTGTTCTGATTGGTAAGCCGAAGAAACTGGATAGAAAACAGAGGGTGAGGAAACAATACCCTCCAGAATGCAGATAAGGTTCCTAAGGCTTTGGTTTAACCATGTAGAGATTACATATTTCGCTTTTTGAATGGTTTGTGCTAGAGGATATCTAGAGAATTTCACCCCTGTAGTGGTTGCGGTGAAGTTTTTAATCACTGAACTAAAAGACAAGACCATATTTTCCAGTTTTCTTTGAGAAAGCGTCCATCTAGCCATGTGGCTGAAGCTACGGCAAAACGGAAAAGATTCTTGGAACCATATGAACCCGAGATGAGTGTTTTCATTTCTCAAGCATAATAATATTTTCACTTGAATGAGTTTGTCGTGTCTTGTAACTTGCATCGGTTATCCTCTTATCTCTGTTTTACTTCCATGTCGACCGTGGAGATTGGCTCTACTTGTTCAATCACTTGCGGGTATGACAACCAAGAATGAAATTTTTAATAGAAATTTGATTGACACTGAATAAAAATAATTAATTATATAATAATTAATTATAATTATATATTTACGATATTATATGAAATTATAATTTCATCATTTTCGTTCACGTATATATCATAGCTGATATTTGAGTATTTCTAAAAACAACCAAAACACTTGACATTTCTTCTTTTTTTTCTCCCTTTCTGTCTCTCTTGTTCTCAGGATTCAGAATCACACCTTGATGGTGCATGCCATGAACCGAAAGCAAGTTTCACGTTTGAAGCTACAAAGCATGACTGTATGATTGCTGAAGGCAGAAGGTCCTTGAATGGGATAACCTTCCTTACAGAACAAGGGCCCATGAGTCATATTAAAAGATAAATATAAACAAAAGACACATCCAATTCTACGTTCAACTTTGTTTTTATGTGTCCCGACACAATCAATGCAGGATTTGCCCGCATCTTGTGGCAATAAAACACTAGGCTCGAGTAAATAGGGTTTTTTTTTTTTTTTTTTTGCAATAGTTGATAATGAAATAACGGTAACACTAGACAAAATACGTTGGAGAAGATAGGGTAGAAAATCTGTAAAAATGTTTCAAGATGTGCTATAAATACTACCTTTCCTTAAGTTAATTTCGTTCACATTACATTTGATATGTAAAAGAGAGTAATTTGAAATTTGTATAAAATACAATGAAACGCCTTATTAATTTTATCTTTGTACTAACAATATCAATTATTGAATTGTTATTTGGAAAGTGATAAAACAATAATTTTTTTATATAAGAAATTTTGCAGTAATCATAGTATAAAAATGAGCTGTTTTATTTTGATAATACTAGGGATTTATTTATGTGTTAAATAGATGAAAAAAATGATGAGAAAAAGATGAAATAACTCTATTTTATATGGGCAAGATGTCAGTCGAGAATAAATACTCCTTTTTAACTTATTAACTAAAAATATTTGATTATTCATTAAAAACTCTTCTAAAAGTTATTTGCTTGAATGTGAATTTTAATTCACATGTTTTCTTCCTTTCAAAGTTTAGAAAAATATATCAAAATTCTATCTCTTATTCCTAATTTAAATGTAAAGGATAAGCCAGAATTATACTTTTATAATGCTATTTTATGAATTATGATTTAATATAAACAGTTCAAGTTTTATTTATATAATTTGAACCAAAATCATATTTTTATAAAATACTTTTTATGTAATCGTTTCGAACTAACTTTTTTTTATTTGAACTTAAATCCTAAATTTATTTTGAAAATTCTTCAACATAATATTCTTATAAGACCGACTGACAATTGTTCTGAAAAAAAGAAAAAAGTTAGATTTCAATAACATCCATTCATACCAAATCTGAATTTTCTCAGGGTGAGAGAGAGCACTGTTACCGCCTTGGGGCAAAGGGAACCCAAATCTCTAATTTGTACCCTTTGGACCCATGTGCTGTGGAAAAAAGGCAGTAAGGCACGAGTACTAATGCAAACACCCACCAGAAAATTTCTTCTGTCCTCATTTGTGGAATGGGAGGGAATTAGGGAGGCAAGATCACACCTCAATTGATAGTTTTTTTTTTTGAACAGCACCTCAATTGATAGTTAAGAATGGTAATGACTTGTAAAGATTTGCTGGTGGACTTTTGGCCATGCTTATGACTACCATTTAATTCGTTAAGGTCAATAATAATTATTAACATTTTATTTTAATTTGATTGATAAAAATAATTGTAATTAATGAAATAATTAATATTTATTGTTTAATATATTAAAATTAATTTGTAAATATGTATTTTTAAATATTATATTAATTATTTAAAAATTATAAATTAATAAAATTACAAATAAATATTATTATTAACAAAAAATAATAAATAAATAAAATTAAAATTTAAAATATTAAAAAATAAATTATATATTATTTAATAATTAATTTTTATTTTTTAAAATTTATAATATTTTATAAATCAACTAATTTAATAATATAATTAATATTATATTAGTAATCTTAAATTTTCATCATAAATTTTTATCTTTTCTATTATTACTCTATTAATAATTTAGGTGATCACAATAACCCAGCCTGGAATTTGATGAGTTTCAATTAAAGGTGTTCTAGGCAAATTGAAGCCTTTTTTTTTTTTTTTTTACTTTTTATGGATCACTAAATTGAAGCTAAGACCTAAAAAATAGGTAGTAAGAGAAATGATAAGGAAAGGAAAAGACCCATCATCAGACGGGTGACACAACCCAGATGATGACTTTCCCGAGCGTTTTCTCTTCTTTGATGAACGCTTGAAATGGGAGTCCCCACAACTGTTCGTCCCCTCTGCCGGACAAATCTGCCACAGCCAATAATGCTTGGGACCTTGTAAACCAAGCACAACCCCCCCCAAATCCTCAACCCTTCTTTTTTGCCCATCACCCTCACCAATTCTCTCAGTCTCCCCTCTATTTGGGTCCTCCTTTCCATTTCCTCCATTTCTCCCCATCCTCTCTATGCTCCTCCTCCAAAGCATTTAATTTTTTATTCTATATTTAAGATGTTGTTTCATTTATCACTTCCCTTTTTTTGTTAGTATCACAATTCACAACACAGTTCACAATGGAATGTTAGTAACCCAGGGAGAAAATTAAGAAGGAATTTTAAGGCGTTGTGCGTCCTCCACCTACCCTGGCTGTTATGGAGAGCCTCCAAGGAACCATTAATCCTTGTAATGTATGTTACTACTTTGCTTATTTCAGTACTTCCACTTCCTCTCCTCTCCAATCCCTTTACTGCAATCAAGATTTGGACTGCATTTATTTTACTCCCTTAAAAAATGCTTGCATTCAATGCATTGTGTTGTTTTTCTCAAAATACCGATTTCTACTTCTGATGTTCCTTCTTCTTTATCATTCTATTCTCCTTAAACTTTTCATTCTCTCTTTCTCTGGTGGGTCTGAAAACCCTGAGCGCCCAGCCCCACCCAAGACCCACTAAAAAGTATATTTCTTGACGCTATCTTTTGGTTCTTGCAGTTGTTGGGGGAGCATCTGGATGCAGAGTGTTTTGAGCAGGGGTTTGTTAACCATGGAACCTGGAGATGTGGTGGTGAAGAAGAAGAAGAAGAAGAAGGGAGCTTTTCAATGCCGAGTTTAGAAGACAAGATGCCATTTCTTCAGATGCTTCAGAGTGCAGAATGCCCGCCGCTGTTTCCCTTAAAAGAACCCAACTTCCAGACGCTTTTAAGATTGCAACACTTAAGCAAGCCACTGGAGATGAACATCTCCTTTCCACCGGAAATGGAGACTCACATTCAGGCCATGGAGCTCGAAAGCTGCGTTACCCATGAAATTCTGGACCTGCATTCTCCGGTCAAGTCCGAGGCCAAGGGTGTTGAGAACAGGTGTTTGGTTTCGTGTTTTGAAGTTGTCAGCTCCGAGGCCATCCAGGACCAACCCAATTCGGCCGTGGAAAATTACTGCAGAGAAGGTAACTCAGGATCTCCGCCTCCAGAAAAGGGACCGCCTCAACATACCCTGTTAACGAAACCCCCGCCCACCGCGAGAGAAAGGAAAAAGCGGAAGCGAACAAAGCCAACAAAGAACAAGGAAGAAGTCGAGAGCCAACGGATGACCCACATTGCTGTTGAGCGCAACCGCAGACGGCAAATGAACGACCATCTCAACTCCCTCCGTTCCCTCATGCCTCCTTCCTACATCCAAAGAGTAAATCAACTTAAACCCAGAATTTTAATACAGCTACAAATTATAAATCTTGATTAAAGCTTCTTAATTCCCCCTCTCCCCCTAATTAATACATTTGTAGGGTGACCAAGCATCTATCATTGGGGGTGCAATTGACTTCGTGAAGGAACTCGAGCAACTTCTTCGTTCCCTTGAAGAGCAAAAGAGAATGAGATCTAAAGAAAGTAATAACAACGCAACCCCAATCTCGGCAATGGGAATTCCGCAGTCGCAATGTGGGATTGGTTCTGAGGATGAGAATTGCGAAGAAGTGAAGGCGTTGAACACGTCCGGTGTAGCGGAGGTGGAGCTGAACGTGATTCAGAACCATGTCAACTTGAAAATTCAGTGCCCAAGAAGACCCGGACAGCTTTTGCAGGCCATTATCACTCTAGAACGCCTTAGGCTAACAGTTTTGCACCTCAACGTTACCTCTTCTCAAGCTTGTGTTTTTTACTCTTTCAATCTAAAGGTATCAACTTTTAATGACCCTTTTGCTTCTTTTTTCATTTGAATGCGTAAAGATCGGATTTTTTTGACATGGGGTTCCCAAAATTCTCAACTCTTTCTCTTTTCTCTTTTTGGTATTGGGTGTGAAAATTGCAGATGGAGGATGACTGCAAGCTAACAGCTGATGAGATAGAAACAACAGTTCATCAAATATTCGGATAAATCAATGCAAAGTATTGGTAGAGGCAGCTGACATATAATCCAGATTCCAGAGAGGAGAGTGGTTAGGGAAAAGTAAGGGGAGAAGCAGAACCAAGAAAAGAAAAAGAAGAGATGGGTATGTAGGGATGGCAGAAAGAGAAACAACAGAAGGCACCTCTACATTGTATATGTTGGTACCACAAAGGGTGCATGATGGTTACTGCTTAACTAAAGTTCCCCAGTTTAATCACTAATTATTAGATTGATTATTGTGTCTAATTTTGTTGTTATTCTGGGTTTAGGGGAGGGTTTGGTGGTTATGGGGTTCGGGTCAGCATGCCTGGCTGAAGCCTGAGGGTGGTAGACTAGCTAGTAGACAAAGCTTTGAGTTTGTAATGGATTTTCTTAAAAATCTGTATGTATACTATATATGATTACTCTTTTGCCAATGATGCCTCCCTTTTCATATTGACTTTGGAGGGTGTTCTCATTGTATAGACATGGATGTTTCATGATTATAATATGCCCTCACCTTTCTCTTCACTTTTTAGGTACAGTTTCACTTTTCTTGGTTTCCAGCTTCTTTCACAATGACATGATCTCCTTCCTCTTGAATTATTTTCTTTCCCTCATTAAATGGCGTGCTTTTCTCTTTACAAGTTGCAATAAGTCCTTTTTTTATTTTTTGGTATTTACCGTGTGTGCTTTTAATCAAATTTTATATGGTTTAAAATTAATCCTTTTTAAAAAAAATTGTAAACTTAATACATTTAATAAAATTAATTAATTAAATTCAACAAGTTGCAATCAAGTTTTACTCTAACTATATACTGCGCTTTAGTTTTTTTTTTTTTTTTTTTTTGGTGTTGAACTTTCTTGAATTTTGTTGCATAAATCAGCCAGTACATCTCAAGGATTTCATCCAATACATATTGCATAATGGGACAAACAAAGAGTTGTGACTAGCTATAAAATGGAATAACAGTTTACAACCAAAGAGTTGTGTGACTTGATTAACAAAGTCTTGAGATCTGGTTTTCTGAATGCATAAACCCAAATAAAAAACTCTTTATCTTCTCTCTCTCTCTCTCTCTCTCCCTCTCAATGGATCAAACATGGATTATCTCGTAAGTGCATATGTTAATCTGTTTAATTCGTATGTTTTTGAAATTTTAAAAAATATATTTTTACAAGATAAAATTTTAAAGTAAAATAATTAACAAATATAATTTTAAAAAAATTTAATATGTTAATGATCATTATAATTTATAAGTTTTTTTCAAAAGGAACTGATTATATTTATTTAAAATTTATAAATTAAGTACTATATACCATATATGATTGTTTGTAAATAAAATAAAAAATTAAATCATTTTGTTGAAACTAAAAAGATAGAGAGAAGTAAAAAATTAGAAAATAATCATATATTGTCTTCTACTATTAGATTTTCTATTCAAATGATTGGTATATAATTTATCTTTACCTTCTAGTCATCTAGATGATAAGTTTTGGAAAGTCAAAATTCTCAATTTTTTAGGTGTGACTTGAATAATCTAAGTGAACAAAAATAAAGATATTTTTAAAAATAATTAAGATTTAAAAATAAATTCATCTTATTTTTTAATTTAAAGTTATTATAATTTAATTTTAATAAATTAATATTAAACACATAATTAATTATATAAAAATAAAAAACTTTAACTTACATTGTAACTTATAATCTATTAAGATAGAGTTGAGGTCAATATTTATTGATTCATAACTTATAGATAACTCAATACACAAATTTTTTTTTTTAACATGAAAAATTATGAGAGGTAAAAAAATTTTAAGTTCATCAGTGATAATTGAATTCTCAACTAATTTATTCTAAATATTAAAATTTAAATACTAAAATCTAAATGGCCGAATTCACTCAATCCACAAAACTTGTGGTTCAAAAAAAACCCAACTCGTACCCGATTCTACTCACCCATTGGCCACCTCTACCTGGAGTACTACCTGAGTTGATAACAAAAAGACATTTGCGGAGGACTGATAGGAAAGACAAGAATGGCAGAAAAGATGGGTCTTCTTAGGCTCTCTTCCTTTACACCTAAATTTTACCAACCCGATCTTTGAGCAGTATTCACAAATTGACCATGTTGAAACTTCTTTCCTTGCATTGACACTTTGACAGGCTGACCATAATCACAAAAAAAATGCAATTATTATTTATTGACATTGACTAGTTTTTTTCTTTCTTCTATCATACAAATGCAGCTGCATCTCTCAACAAAATAACGAGAGTAGCGCATGGGCTTTCAATTCAGTCACGTCAGATTACGTTTAAGTATATTTTTTCATTTTTAGGGTAACGGTTTAAATCTGACCTTTTACGAATTTATTCAAAAAAAAAGAAACGAAAGTAGCAGCACTCACAGTTTCGACTGCTTTGATCAGGTACACTTAAATTCATGATTTTGATCAGAGTTCAAAATTATAATATGCAGCCCTATTCCCCCTTTCATATTCTCCCTTGTTCAAAAAAAAAAAAAACAAGAGTAACAGGTGGAGTTTATCCAATTTTAATTTTTGATGTTAATCCAAAAAATAAATACTAACTTCTAACAAATGTTATTTTTGTCAAAAAAAAAATTCAATACATAGTAATTTACTAACTATCTGAACGAAAAAAAGACTCAAAACACAAAAAAAAAACCTAAGTTCTATTCTGAGGTTTTTTTTTCCATGAAATTTCCTAATAATAATAATAATAGTAAGGGCCTAAGGGGGAAAAAACTTGCAGGAAATGAGTTGGGACTGACGGCGAGGTGACCCGGAGACAAAGTACAAGCTACAAAGGCAACAAAGGAGGTAGAACTGAGCTCAAGACGAGGGGTTTTTGAGGGAACCCTGTGGAAGTCAAAAAGGGCAGTGTGATGGGGAAGGGATTTGATCATGGCAACACGTAAATGTCTTA